AAAGTAGAGTATACTTCCTGTATACTTCAACATCTGCACAAGCTGTTCTGTGTATGAAATAATGCATGTATCTTGGATAATCTTGGAATATTTGCAGTTTTGGTAGTTTTATTTCTCATATAGTAAGCAATCTGTACTATAATAATACATATTATTTGATAGCTGACACTTGATATTTAAATTCTGCTTGGAATTAAATTCTAATTTTATAACTAGTTGCAAAACTAAAGGTGAATCATAACACATATTAAATACTTTAAGTGCTTTATATTTTTTAAGAACTTGGCCAATTCAAAATATGGAAAGATAAATGGGTTACACGTGACATACAGCACTTAGTTTCCAGACCTGAATGCTTAATCTGATCTTGTAAGAATCTGGAGTTAATGGAAGGGTACCATTTTATCTTGGATTAGGACCCATGCCTATATTTCTTGTTTGTTCCTTACCAAAAGAGTAGTGTTTAATCTGTTTTCATTTGCATAACATATTCTGCATGGCTCAAAGTTTACTCTGACCCTACAGCCAGTAAGCTGCATTTTGGTAGGGCTGTTTTAGGTGCCTCCAGCCTGGAATATGTCAGGTGCATAAATATTTTGCCTATCTTCAACACTACTCTCTCTTTTATACTATGTTTTATATGACTGTTTCCCTCCTAATATCTGCGAATCTTGCCTAATTTGCTGGCCCTTAGAAGAAACACTTGCTAATTTCAGAGGACTTTGAAACCCAGGCCCTGTATAGTGAATAACACGGTGAATCTAAAATTCAATATCAAAGCCTTTCCCCCTAGTATCAAGCCATATTTTTGCCTCAGTCATCGAGTTGTTTGTAAATTCTCTGTTGGTAACCTGAAGTCTTGATGTGATGAGATTATACTGTTAAAAAAAAAACAACGATATCTTAGGTTTAGATATTGATGATAATCTTCTGTATCCTTCAAAAGTCTTAAAAGAATCCACATGCTTTCTATGTGCCTTCTGTAAAAGCACCTGCAAAAATTTAAGGTTTGCTATAACCAGGTTTAAGCCACTGCAGAAGCATCAAGAAGAAAGTTTTCTTAATAGCTTATACCTACTACCTTGTTCAGCATGAGAGATCATTTGCTAAAATGGGTTTGTTCCCACTGGCGTAGCTCTGAGGGTCACTGTGCCTTTTATGCCTGGACCTTACAGAAAAGAAATGACTGCATAGGATAGGATGAATGTTTTACTAGACCATTGGGCACATTGATTTTTATTTTCATGGATATGTAGATCAAATTGAAATAACCTAAAGGGGCTGATGTGATACCCTAGGACTGTTAGAGATGTCAAGATTTGTAGTGTCTGTATATTTCTACTTCTTGGTACTCTCTGTAGAAAAATAGCATGGGGTGTCATTGACATCTGTCACTTGCTGACATAGGAGAAAAATAACCTCTACCTCTGTGAGACATTCCCAAGACATGTCCCAGATGAATTAGATTGTGTACTGAACCTAGTTTTGATTTATTTACATTTTAAAGCAAGTGTTATGCAAGTCAGAAAAGCATGATCCTGGCTGGCTGATACATCCTTAAGCAACTGTCTGTATATTGGCATGTGAAGAATTCTTTCTTGACTGACGTAGGATGCTACTTCAGAAATGTGTTTTTTGTAAATATCCTGAAACTACAGAGCAGGAACAGTTTCTATTTCAAGACTTGTTAAAATTACATTTATTGAAGCAACAACCGTTCAACTGCCACATTAGAAAGAAACTATTTAGATCACCATACAATGTCAAAATTAATGAAGAATTAAGAAATTTGGAAAACTGAAATTAAGAAAAACAAGCCAACATGAGCTAAGGCTTACTTGAATTTGGACTTTTGAATTACCCAGGAATATTATGATTTCAGTAAATCTCAAGATCTTTACATGAATTTTTTTTACTAAGGCTCAAGTAAGCTGTTATATAGGCTAATTAAATCTCAGAGAAAGTAGGAATGTGAACTGTATTTTAAGCAGCAGGATCATATATACATAAATACACACACATACATGTACACATATATTTATTTTCACCACTCCTTCCCCTCCCCCCCCATATGTGTGCAGCGCCTTTTCTTTTTGAAGCTGGTTTTCAATTTCAAAAAACATTCTCCAACTTGGGTAAGGATCATCTTTGTATGATACCACTTTAACAGTTCTGGGAAAACAGATTTAAGTTTTGTGACTGTCTGATTGTTCAGTTAATGTAGGGAAGATAATTTAAAGTTTATCTAATCTTGTAGACCTTGCCAGATTGACAGAGAGATTGCAGTTTTTTTTACAGGAATATAAAATTTTCCTTCTCGTAGGAAGTCAATACCAGATGCTCTTCTCTAGCACCAGCCCTGCTTTTTCATCCTGTCATCTGGACATTAGATCTTATTACTCACAGAACTCCAACAGTCTGATGAAATGGAAACAGTGTTCCCTTTGTTTTGTCTGTTATCTGGAATTATGCTAGAACAATTCAGATCGTCAGTACTTAAAAATACAATTGTCAGCTGTACTAAATTTTATTTTGCACTGATTATTATTTATATAAAAATACTGCACTTTGTATATTATGAGGAGAGAGATTTCTAAAGTTTAGGGGAGTTTATAACACTGGTTCTAGACTATTGCTTTATCAGGGAAAAATACTGGTAGATAGAAGAACATGTCTAGAAAATGACATATTTCTATTTTCCATCACATTCACTTTATCTGTAGTGTCATGTTAGTTTAAGGTGCAGCATATGTAGGCCCACAAAAGCTGACATAAAGGAAAGCAGCATAATACAGTGTAATGATACATGACACATTCAGACTGAGAAGGAAACTCACTTCCTCGGAATTAATACCTACTACTTTACTGTGTTTGCCATTAACATACTCTTCTCTATGCATACAATCTCCCCTATGCAATCGACATACGGCTTACTTATGTTGGAGAATACTAGCTCGTTCTGAAAAGACAGTGAAATCAAGTGTTTTCTAAGATGTAGATGCGCAATTAAGTCCTGATATTGCTTTCCTGATTCCTAAACTATTCTGATGCAGAAAGAACAAATAAATCCTGATATTTGTCCCTTTTCTAGTTGATAGACTACAATTTAACAATATTTATATTTGTGATAGGTCAAGTTATGTACTCATACTCATGTAACCTTATAGCTAGCTTAAAAGTGTAAATTTATTAAAATTATATTTTAACCCCCCTGTAAGTCAATTATCAATTCTAGAAAGTAAGCAAGAAAATTTAATAATGCTATTTAACGTGCTCTGAGTTTTGAACAAGTAATTCACAGTAGATTTCAGTATAAGTAGTATGCACTGAAAGCAGAATGTGTACTAGACACAGTGGAACACATTTCAGACTAGAAGCAAAGCTTTCCAAAGTATTGTATTTGCTTGAGGTTTGACCTAGCTGGGAAATTACCTTTCTTGGGAAAGTCTGAGCCTTTTGTTGCATTCTGCACTGGGAGTTTGTTCTGTTTCCTCATTTCCCTGAAGAAGAAAGGTTCCCTAGAATACCTACGGAAGTTGTCCAGCATAAAGGAAATGCAGAGCTATAGCCTTGAGCTGAATCAAGCAGAGACAGCGACTCCCACACCAGCTTCTGTGCTGCCTGGTGTTCTGACACAAGTGTGCCACACAGTGAACTAGATTTAGAGTACAAATACCAGTAATGACTGTAATTTTACTGTGTTAATTTTAACTTGGGACAGTTCTCTGCTTGTATTCGTTACATGGCTGCCAAATGCTTTCTTCTGGCACAGAAGCACAGGTGGCATGGGGTCAGGCAAAAACAGTGAAAAGTGTGAGAAAAACCAGAACCGCTTTTCTTAGCACCACTAAGTAATGTGAATATGAAGTGCTTGTAGAGGAAGAATTTATTTAAAGAAATGGAATCTCAGCTTATTATTTGTGCAGTCAAATATTAAAAAATATACCAGAAATCTAAGTTAGTGTATTACATCAAAATTAAAATGTGGAAGGAATTATAAAGCAGGAGAGAAAATTTTCGTAACATACTGTCTATAAAAGATGATAAATGGCAGGCGAGTTAGTATTACTGATTGGTGAAGAATTCTTTTCATTAAGAAATAAAACCACCCCACTGTTTGTTGTACTCTTGCTGTTGAAGGGATTTATTTTAAAGTAAAATCTAAGTGGTCCTAAACTTTACAGTAAATTTTTCATTATAAATAAAAAATAAATCATATAAAGGAGGGCTCTGCCCATTTCATCATGAGGACAGTGGACTGACTACTGCTTGAATTGAAATAGCATCTGAGAAGCTGCCATATTGTCATTTCACAGGCTGAGCCAAAGAAATAAAATGGATCATGTGACTGTGGTACAAGATCTGGTTATTATAAGGTTAAGTAGCTGAGATGTTAGTGTCTCAAATCCAACAGAATGTAATCATTAAGTTGTGAGTGGTTTGTTTGTCATTTATTGGGGGCATTTTGCTCTATAAGCAAGGATCAAGGGTATTAAGAAGAAAAAGAAATTTTATTTCATTGATGAATTAAAGCAGTAACATTTTATTTGGTTTCAAAACTATCAGGAAGACTATGTATGTACATTATGTGTCTTGGTTTCAGAATATGCTATTTTAAATTCTCTTAATATGTTACATGAAAATGCCTACCTAAAAGTCACCTATACTTAATTAAACATTGCCTAAAAATAGGGATACAAAATTTTGTTTCTTCCTATTTATAAGAACTTTCATTTTGAGAGGTGTTGGTCTTTATTCCTAAACTGATATATAATTTTCAAATATAATGTTTTTCACTTTAGTACATACAAGAAGGTCACTGTCTAATACTGACTTTGAAAACTTTGTGAATAGCAAGTTATTTACATGCAACAACTTTGGTGACATTGCGCACATACACCAACCACTTTTCCCATTGTTCTGTGTTTAGACTGTTGTGATTCTGCTGATGTAGCCAATGTTTTTCTTCATTATTCCTCTGCCTTTGTCCTTTCCTACAGGCTTACCCTGAGTTTGTCCTGACCTACCTAGAGGAACTAAATGAAAGAGAGGAGGTGACCCAGACAGAAAACTGCATTCACCATGGGGCCTGGTCTGCAGCTCATCAGGAGATAGACAGCAGCTCAGTGGAAGAGGTCACAGTATTAAGCCAGAGGCAGGTCAGAGACAGTCCTTTCAAAAACACATTTTGAAGAGAGAAATATCAGTGTAGAAGTCAACTTACTTCCTTAAATAAATAACCTAATTTGATTTTTTAATACGATATTTTTATGTTAGACAAATAAGCTATATACAGGATTTTAACAAATAAAAAAAATGTCATATATTTGTGTCTCAGAACACTTTATGCTTACAGGACATGTAGGACAAATTTTTGAAATAACTTATTTCCATGTGAGGAAAAAAAAATATCAAGGAAGGAAGGGAAATAAACAGAAACCATGAGATCTCTAGATCTGTGCTTCTTGATGCATCTTGACATAGCTATTTGTATTTCTGACGTTTCCTGCTAATCAACAGCCTCACTTGAAAAAGTAGACGCACATTATTTTAATTAGTAATATATGAATTACATGGTTGTACTTCCAACTCTTAGGTTCTGCAAAAAAATGTCAGCAACCCCAATCAGAAACAACTTTCAGGACCTTTGGACGCCCATTTAATGCCTGCAGATCCCCTAGGGGAGACTACACAGCTGACAGTGGCGCTGGCGAGGAAACTAGAAGAGAAACATCCTAAGGCCTCAGCTCAAAGGTAAGCCACTGACAGAACTGATATTTATTGTTCAATGACATTAGATGTTTTCCTTCAGTTTCATGTAAGATTGATTTCCTGGATATTATTGAAATATCTCAGAAACCCTCTGGCTGATAAGCAAACAGGGATTTTGACTAAAATTAATGAAAAAGGGTGACATTTATGTGCCCTTTCTTTATTATTTTGAAGATTGATGTGGATGATGTTTGGTAGTAAATGCAAATTTACTTCTTAATTTTTATCTACAAACCTTGCATCATGCAAATTACATAAATAAACAGGACTTATATCAACATTGTAGCACATTTTATGCTGAGACTTAAGCTTAAATGATGAAGGTTTTGTTAAAAACCTGAAACTCATGCTGAGCCAAAATACCAAGTGACGCAGTCACTTTCAATATGGGACTATTTTAATTTCAGTAAAAGATAAATAGTAGTGTTCTTAGTTGCTTCTACTTACAGCAGGCAAAAGACTTTGCCTTTAGATACTTAAACTGTCTTTTACAAATGGCATTTGGCTAGTTATTTTTGAGCTTTTGGGTATTCTTAGAGCAGAAGTTTTTAAAAATGGACCTCCCATTCAGATGAAAGATTACAAGACATCACTTTGAATGAAAATTGAACTTGATGAAGTTGCTGTTACTACTGGCAGTAAGTCAGTGACAGTAATTTACAGGTGACTGCAAATCACAAACAGATTCAGTTAATCTAGGTTATCACAAATCTTCCCTTGGAAGTATTACCCTTAGAGAACTCATAATTTTGCTCTTCTGGTCCTTCTTCAAGGACTAGAATTTTTGATGTTTCATTTATTATATTATCTTACAGATATTTAGGTTTTGAGTATCCAAAATATTTCCTAAATGTGCTTGAAGACTATGACATGACCGAGGTAATGACCATCAGTAGTTTTTGGGGAACTGCATAGGTAGGCATAGGCTACCTGTATTTTGGGTTACTTTGATTTTTGATAAATCATATAACTTCAAAGCTTTTTTAAAATGGTTTAACTACTAGAAAATAATGTATTTAGTTTATGTGTATTTTGTTTACGTTGTATTACAGCATACACTAAAGTACCAAAGTTAAGGTTGATTGTATCAGCTCTTTCAAAAAATGTCTTCTGCAATGTAAGGTGAAGGTTTATACACAAGATCATTTTTTACACAGTGCTTTGGCTATGAATTGTTATGCTCTAAAGGTGTAATGTGATGTCAGGGTCACTACAAAGTTTTTCACTTCATTTAAGTAGAATGGGATAAGTGAAATTTCTTCAAATAGACTTCCACGCTTTTAGCCTCAGATAGCAGTTTATAAATATTAAGCTTAAAAAAAAAAAATCTCTTCTTGCAGAGAAGACTTTTGATTTAGAAAGCAATCTGCAGTCAATATAGCCTTTAAGCACTGAATGCGTGACTTTCTATGTCTTTATGTATCTCTTCCCATTAAAAGTGGGAATCATTTTCCTGAACTAGAACTAAATATAGAAAAAATACATTTTAATACAAACAATGACATTATTTTACTGTCAGAAATATTTGGCATTAAATAGCTATGGTAACTAATTCAAAACTTCTGCAGTTACCTCTGTTATGGAAGGTATTAAGTAGTTTAAACTCTCTTTTGCTGCAATTTTTCACTAGACTGTGATAAATACTGATGTTTTCTGGTAAATAGCTGCCACCTTCCACTCTGTAGAATGCTTTCAGTGCCTGAAAGGCAATGTATGAAATAGGAGAAAGGGTTTTACTTATTCTGTGTGATTTGAAAAGCTGTTCAATTTCTATGTAGCAATAAATAAAATTTTCTTGCCTTTAAAAAAAAAAAAAAGCCAACAAAACCAACATGAAAAACTGTCATAAGAGCAGATGAGGTGTAAATTGTCTGTTCAAAGGAAGCTATATCTCGGCGTCCTAGACTTCTGTTTCAGAGGTTGATCCAGTTTTGTGGATCAATAAAGTGGAGGAGTGACGTTCCACTGCAGTCCGCAGTCAGCCCCACGTTGAAAGAAAACCTTATTCTGTAGGATGTTGTGGGAAAACCCTTGGGAAAAGGGCTTAGTTTCAAATAATGAAATAATGTGGTTAATTAGATTGCAAGGTTGTCTCTGACAATTTTCATACAGTTAGTCTTTCTTATGCATTTTTGCTGGTTGAAGGCTGCAGTCAGCCCCTTTCTTACCTGTACATTGTTTAGCCAGGGGCACATTATCCTGTGATATGAGATAGTAAAGCCGATAAGGAAATGAACTTGATGTTTGTGTGTGTGTGTCCTATCATAGCGGTCTTGGTACATCCTTAGTATCTTTGAGTACATCTTATTCAGTGTTGTTGCCAATGCTGGTTTTTTTAGTGCATCTCATACTTTTAGAAATTTACATGATGCCTGTAAGATATGAAAACTTGAACATCATCTCTGATTTACATGATTGAATCCCTGATTTTCTGTGTGAAAGACAGAAAACTTATCCATGCCAACAAATATTGTTGAGGTAAAAATGCTTTCTAAATTACTGGTATTGCCCCAAACAGACCAAAGTCAAATAATCAGCTAGTTGTTAGACATGGAATGTTGAAGTTGCTGAGATGATTTGGCTTTTAGGATATGGATGAATAGAGAAGTGACCAGTATTGACTATAATTTATACAGATCCCTCAGTACATGAGAACTCATGACATACCTAGGTAATTAATGGCCACCTATATTCTTCCCATCCTTATTGTCATCCTCACTCACTGTTCATGTATGAGAAACAGCAAATCCATTGCCTCCTTTGATTCAGAGTTGGTTTTTTTTTTTTGAGTGGAAACTTGTAGAAAGAAATTAAAAAGCATTATCTGTGCCTGGGTCAAGATATAGTAATGTTTGGGTGGTACCTTATGGAAATGTAGTCCCTCTAACTTCTGACAGCATTTTAAATAACTTCTCTCATTCTTGTGATCTTATGTGTTGGGCCCAATTAGGAAAGTAAGAGAGTGCTCTTGTATCATCAGCTGTGACAGACTTGTACTGTCCTAGAAGTACTTTCACTTTGTGAATTGTCCCTTTAGAAGTCACTAGCTGCATTTAGAAAATTGATCTTCTGTTTTAAATGAAGTTTGGGTTTCAGGCTTTATTGGATCACTTTGCTTCCATAAGTAAGATTAATTTCAGAAGTTTCTGACTACTTTGTCTCTAATCCAGATATGCATTTAATTATGCTCCAAATTAGGTACATACTAGGTACAAACATTCTTGGATCTGAGTCAGAATGCTTATGAACTTGTATTTAATACTAAGGCACATCTGGGACAGTTAGGTTGATTTTAATTTTTCTGAATCACTCAGACAAATTCAGTTATTACGTGTTTGGTTTTTTTTTTTTTTATTAGACCTACTAGTGCAGGAAAAATAACTAAGGAATATGCCTAAGGAGAAGGAAATTTTCTCCCATTTCCATCAGTGACACAGCTATGAATTCATACAATTGTAACAACTAAGCAAATGCTTGACCTTGTTGTTTTATACACTGTTCATTCATTTTAAATTCAGGTGGGCAAAACACAGGTAAAACTCATAATCTGTATTGTAAATTGTTGATTCCATGTAGACAGATGAGAATGTATTAAAAAAAATAATTCACTACTGGATTATTTTAAAAATCTATTTATACATATTCCACTGGAAAAGTGTGTTAGACTGTATTTTCTGCATATGAAAATCTGTATTAATTTTAAATACCCCCTCAAATTTCTATTGTGAAAACTCCTCTACAAGAAAAACCTCTTCTCCCTAAGTTGCAATGATTTTCCATGATATATCTGCCATGTGAGTGTTTTAAAGGTTAAACCTTTGAATTAGTGACAAATTAGCTTTCATTAACTGCTTTCATCACATTTTGACAAAATTATTCTCATAGCTGTATCTACTACAGATACAAATCCAGCTCTCTACTCATCACAGAGAAGAAATGTTCTGTAGCTATGGAAAATGAAATAAAAATATAATAAATGTTTCCTTCCCATTTTCAGAAAGCATTTGAAGATATTTGTTTATATTAGTACACCAGTTTGAGCAGCTTACCTTTATTTAAATGGAGTATGAACTGGGGGGACGAAGGGGTGTGGGGAAGACTGTGGCAGCCGACAAAGCATGCTGACCCAGCTTGTCACCCAGTGACCTGTGAGAAGGAAATAATGAACTGTGAGTAGCTGTCATCTTAACTGTTTCTGACAGTTTGGCTATGGGCACATCTGTGTTAGTTGCATGGAAAGGCCTTTGTTGTTTTCCCACTAGTGACTTTGCAGACCGCTGTGGGGTTTGCTGGCTGCCCTGCTCTTACACTTCCCCTCCTTTTTTAGTAGTAAGAGCAGCTGCCACTGATAGAGCTGACATTTCTTTTAATGATTTACTTGGCATTTATACCACTTAAAGCAAGATATTAAATTGAGTTAGAACTTCTGGATACTGTAAATGAAAATATTCTCTATATTCATGTAAGATCTGTTGTAAACATGGCTGTAATCATTCTTTCTTATCTACATAACTTGCAGCAGTGTTCAATGTCCATTGGTACTCTTCATTCCTTTTATCTTGTCATACTTAGCTATTTGAAGTGAATTGAGTCTACTGGTAATAACACTTTAATCCAGTGTACGATGAAACTTGGCAACTTTTCATGGTTTTTATGATATATTACAAAACAAACAAACCAACTCCCCCAATACACCACCCAGTCCGTCCCGTCCCCCCCAGCCCCACTTACTTAGTACTATCATAAGCAATTGCTTGCTTTTCCAGACTGATTGAAGTATGCATGTCTTTTCTGGTACAGGAATGCTAAACCTTGGATACCTTAGCTCACACTATTAATTTTCAGCTAGGAGAATGGTAAATAGAGGCATGCCTGCTCTCAAATAGAGTTCTTAGCTGATTTGTGAAAGATGATTGTTAAGGAAAACCTGAGTTCATGACCTTTGCAAAATGACTAACACAATAACTTAGGGAGTGCAGAGCTATC